ATAGTAATGTTGAAACTTCAAGTATTGATAAAATTAATGATATTGATGTAGAACAATTAGATTTAAGTAATATTGATAAATTACAATTAAAAGCAATTAAGCAAATGAGTGAAAGACTAGAAACACTGGAGAAAGTAAAAAGTGACAAATTAATATATAGATTACCGGTTCAAATTTGTAGTTATAGTTTGTTCTGAATTAATGACATTAAGCCTATGGTTTAATGCTATTAATTTAAAGATAAACATAAAAGTCATCCATAATAATTTGGTCACCTTCATTGATGACTTTAATAGTTTTTTTTTCACTTGTAATGAAATAAAATAAAGCTCATCATTCGAATCACTCGCATACGCTAATTTAACTTTATGAATGTCTTTATTAAGAAAATAATAAATATCAAATAAATTAATTGATATTAAAGTTCGATTACAAACATGAAACCAACGAGTAAACAAGTTATTTGTAGCAATTACATCATATTCAATAAATAATTTTAATGGTGTATATGTTTTATGTAATTTATCTAACTCACTTAAATTAAAAATATATGATATTCCATTGTTAATATTAATATTATCAATTTTAAAATAATGTATGTTATTTAATGTGTAAGACTTATAAACTGGTTTATATGTATTAATAAATTTTTTTGACAATATTGCTATTTTTTATTTTTAATAATCTAACATCACCTAAATTATAAGATAATACTATGTTTTTAATGTATATTGGTAAATCATAAAATATCATATAATATAATATATTTAATGATTTAATTATTAATTTTCAAATATTGTGAAAAAAATCATAAACATTTTATCTGGGTTCTTTTCTAAAAGGTTAATATATAAAAAAACTATGCGGTTCATCAGTGGCAGTCTCATATATTTTATAAATTAGTTTCTTGCTTTCATGAAAATTATCGTTTCTAACAATTGCTGATAATTCATCTTGCAATATTTCTATATCTTTGAAGTTTCTAACTTTATAATAAAACAAATGACTTATATTTACCCTAATGATTGGTGGTACGGTTGATAATTTTTGAAGACTGACAAGTGTTGATATTCCACTATGACGACCTCTACAAAATAAAGAATTTAACAATTTGTTATTTCTTGTTATTGCTGGATTATCAGATACATCATCCAATATAACTAACATATTAAATAACTTGTTCATTCCTTGTTTGTTCTGATATTCAATTATTTTATTTTGAGTTTCTATAACTCTTTCTAAATCTTCAACATTGAACTCATCCCACCAACACGGTTCTTTATCATTATCTACTTTCAAACCTTCTTTAATGTATTTTTTAACAGGCAACCAAATACTATCCAAATTTACAGATGGGGACCAGATAAAAATTCTTTCATATGCACCTCTATAAATATCAAGTATCATTGATACAAGTAAAGTTGATTTTCCACTTCCAGATGGTCCGACAATCATAGCTCTCATCGGCAATTTAGGGACGACCTCATGCTTACTTTGCTTAAAGTCATATTTGATTTCATCAATTGGTTTTACATCAGGCACAATAAAAATAATATTATAAATACTTATAAATAAAAAAAAATATAATATAATTATATCATAATGTCAAGAGAATCTATTGATTTAAGTGAAGTGGCTAGTATCCGGACTATATATAAATTTGGTGATATCTTAGTGCCCGACACTGAACAAATATATTATGATACGATGTTATACTTTTTATCGGCAATTAAAAAACAAAATATCGTAGTATCCAAGTCCTCAATTGAAAATGACAATAACGTAGATTTTAATTTTAGAAAGTTAGTAATTTTTATGAAAGATTATCCCGATATGTATACAAATGAAATGATAAATAGTGTACAAGAAGTTATTGATATCAATATTAGAGATGTTAGTCTATCAACTGCAATAAAACTTACTAAAGAAAATAGTTTAAATAAATATTCTATTTAATATTAAATGGAACGGGATTTCCATTGCTTCAATCAATGAGCATTGAAGCTAATTAGTTTGATGCATTGTAAAGAAAACCCCAAGTGCTGTGCCCCACCAATATTCTATTATGCATGAAAATAATAAGATTAAATAACTATTTTATCTTATTATTTATATGAATAGGAGTTATTCAAATTATATTAATATAATAGATGAAATAGAAAATATAGAACAAGTAATAATTACTGACAATAAATAAAAAAAAATGTTGTTATTATTCACTAGAAATCATTAAGCTAGGAATACAATATATCAAAAATAAAAATGTAAATATTAATATGAATGGTAAAAAATAAAAAGAAAAACAAAAATAAGACAGGTTTAAGTGTTTCTTCAACAGATGAAGATAGAAGAGAAATTGTTAAAGAAACAGCAGTAATTGAGGTTGCTTGTCCTATGTGCAAAAAGATGTTAGAACTTAAAAATGAGTTAGAAATACAAAAGAAAGGACATTGTAAATGTTCATGTATTCCAACAAGTTTCAAAATAAGTAAAAATGATAAGAAAATGAATATTGATAAAACTAAAGACAGTATCAAAATAGAAACTGATGTCCATAATACAACTTTTAAATTTGGTAGGCAAGCAACACCATCTGATAATCATGAAAACGAAACGCAGGAAACTATTAAACAAATGATGAACAATTAGTATTTAAAGAGTAGATTTAACATAATTGCACTTTATAAATATATATAATTAAATAAATAAATAAACATCTAATTATTTATATAATCATAATGCCAACTATGAATGGAGAAGACCCTAGAATTATAACTTTTGACGATGAAGAAATTAAAGACCTATTCAATGGTGATGAAAACTTTGCTAAACAATTGAGTGAAGAATATGTTTATTGGTTTGATGCTAAATTCAGTGATAAATATTTTATGAAAGGTATAACTAAATCAGATAACTTTGGTAAAATATTGATTTTTTTTGAAATTACAGGTGACGAGGAAGGTTTAATACAAATGAACAATAAAATTGATGAAATACTCTTAGAATATAATTTATTTACATATATAACATTAAATTATTCAGGTAAATTGTATAATTAAACAAAAAAATATCTAAATAAATATATAGTAATGTCTGAAAATGAGAATTATACGATTAATGATTTAATGAAGAAGATAACATTAATTGGTAAAAATATCAAAACCTTAAATGATATGATTAAATCCATTGATGACAAAATGAAACCAGTTGAACGCAATGAAGATAAAGAAAAAGTCGAAAATATATTTCAAGCAAAATCTATAGGAAGACCAACTGGAGACTACCCTACAAAGCAAAAGAAATACTGTGAAATGTTGAATACAGGAAAATCAAACAACCAAAGCAACAAACATTAGAGTTTTATAAGATTACAAAAAATGATGATGGAGTATATGTATTGATTGAATAATTAAATCTAAGTAATTCTAATAATATGAATTTATTAGAATTATTTAGCAAGAAGACCTATATAAAATACCTTAGTGTGTTTGACGGATTAAGGATTTTGAGTTTGGGGTTTTGGCTACAAGTCGTTCGTCCAGCAACAAAAAGGTAAAATGTGCCTGCCATATGTCCAGATTTTTGGAGCATATGTCCCAGATTTTTGGAGCATATGTCCCAGATTTTTGGAGCATATGTCCCAGATTTTTGGAGCATATGTCCCAGATTTTTGGAGCATATGTCCCAGATTTTTGGAGCATATGTCCCAGATTTGTGGAGCATATGTCCCAGATTTTTGGAGCATATGTCCGAGATTATCGAAAATATGGTATTAAGTTAAAACATCATCCAGAGATTAAAACTATACTATAATAATAACATTTATACCCTTATATGTTATAATTATAATGTAAAATGACTTAAAGGAATAAAGACTTAATATAATAAGAGGAAAATGCCAATGATAGGAGTGACAGAAAAAGAGCTGGAACAGGATAGAAAGATAATATTGAATTTCATTAAGGATAATCCTTACCCATCGTATAAACAAGTCATTGAAATAATTAAAAACGATAAAACAATGGAAGATATATATCTAGATATGTTCGCCGAGTATGGAGAACAAAATCATCAATGGATAAAAGAGATTTACAAAAACATAATGAAAGAAGAACTCGTTAATCATAGTGGTAATAGTATTAATGAAAGAGGAGGAATGACAACAATGCATTGTAATTATTATACTTTGATATCAGTGTTGCATTATTTAATACAACAAAGAGCACCAATGAAAGATTATGACGTTACCTTAATCTGGTATAATATCAGAAACATATTGAGCAATTCTTGGAACAACATAGGAGAGTGGAAACACTGAAAATAGGTTTATTCATATTATCTATGATCATACTATAATAATAACATGTAAAATGTTATATGTTATAATTGTAATATACTTATCGTTTGTAAAGATTGAATTATTATATTTTTCTAATTTGCTTGTCTCTTTCAAAGTGCGTTGTTTAGACTTGATATGCTTCTTCAGTTTTTTCGTGCTTTGGCTGTTTGTTTTTATTTTGTTTGATACTCTTGTGATATTTTTTGTTGGTATGTTGCTTTGATTTTTGTTGATGTGTGTTTTTGAGTTTGGGTTCTTTGATGATTTAGAGGGTTGCTGTTTTGTTGGTATGCTTGTTTGAATTATTTAATGTTGTATGCTGTGATTGAATATTTTTGTTGCTGGTTGTGATTATTTATGTTGTTTGCTTGTTGTTCTGGATTTTGTTTTCTGTTTGTTGTGTTGCTGTTGGAAAAATCGTAGAAATAATAATTCTTTGAATTCTCCTTTTACTATTTTTCCCCGCCCCCCAACCCCAAAACGCCTCATTGTACGCAGCCCGCAATTCGTTCAATCCTTTGGGCCCATGCCGTAAAACCCAAAAACCTGGCTGGTGCAAAGTAAAACAATAACGAAGGTAATGAAGCGGAAGGGGGTAAACATAAAGAACCGGAAGGGGGTTCTCGTTTCAGACGTCTCAAACCCCCCTCTCTCGGCCCGCCTGCACGCTGCTCTGCTCAGTGACCTGCAGCGTGGAGCTCACCGCCGCGGAAGAGCGCCACTGCACGGCTGAGGGCCTGCAGCGGCGCCTTCTTTGCATCGCTTGACATGGGTATGGGTCAAAATTAACCACCGGGGGACCGCAGGTTTTAGTCCTTGGTTCCATTCACCAGGGTTCCATTTTGCGTACCGAGTTTTGACCCACAGCCAGATCAGAACTGAGTCACAATCAAAAACCCGGTGCAAAAATGGTTGACCCACAACCATGTGAAGAACTAACAAGGCGGTCGCAGCTATTTTTGGCTGGGACTTGCCCGGGTTTTTATTGTGGCTCAACTGAAGAGGTCCCCCAGAAGAATGGCCGCTTCTTTCTTCTTTTCTTTGAACCAACCTTTAGTGTACTTTTCTTGCGATCGGTGCGATAAGTAGGGAATGAGAAATGAAATGACCCCGATTTAAACCATCCAACTGGTGGTTTCCTGTAAGGGAATCCCCTTCCGGTTCATTCCCACATTCCCTATTGAGCACCAGCAAGATTATTAAATGATTATTAGACTACCGTATTCCCTACAAATGAAACAGTGCTGAGTCTCCCAGAAACCAAAACCGGGAAATTGATGGAAGTGAGGGGAAATACGCCATTTGTGCTACTTTAGCCAGCCACTCCCGCAGTCTAGAGCTGCCTTTTGTCTGATGGACTCTGCCCGACTGAGAGCCATGCAGCGAGAAGCGAAATTGCTTTCCCCGCGCGCCTGCCAGGCCGCACCGCCATTCACGGGTCGTGATGCGAGATTCAGAACCCGAAATGTCTGGCCAGCTCGCTCTGTGCCCCCAAACTTCATGCAGCCTTCTCCAAACCTTTGCCTTCAGCCGCTGGGCCGCTTGCCTCGCTTTTGTCGGCCTCGCAGCGACAGCGTAAATGAACAAGTCCATTCGAATTCTTTCAACCCCTTTGGAACCACCGTTGGCACGACCTGCTCTTAGCGCCTTCTCCCAAAATTGATGAATGGAGGCGAAGTGCAGCTTACATGTAGGCAGCTCGGGCGACACAACAGGCAGCAACATATGCCTGCTTGCTCTGATCTGTGGCCTTATTGGCCGAGATGCATATGCATTACCCCGGTCCCAAGCTAACAAAAGCAGCAACCTAAACATAGGCGTCCTTTTAGGGCAAATTGATGGCCCTGGTAGATAATTGTTAAACCACAAGGTAAACCAGGGCCATCTACTATCCTACCAAAACAACCCAAAAAGGACACCTATGAGCCTAAAGTACTTTGAGTATCTGAGGAATCTTCAAATTCAGAGGTTCCTTCTGAGGTCGCCCATTGAGACTTCCTGGCGCGCCTGCTCCAGGCTGAACACCGCCGTGCTCCTGGAAAAAAGGCGCGGGAATGAAGGAAGCACCAGCCACTTGGAGGGGCTAACCCAGGATAAAGCACTGATGGATGTTTGCATGGGATGCTTTTATTGAAAAGCCAACCCGACATCAGCCGGACAACTGTGTTCAACAAGGGGCTGCTGCACCTGAATCCCTTCTGAAAAAGCCTGAGGTTAATGTTGGTCAATGCTTGGTGAGGGGGACTTGAATCATGCAAACCGCTCCCACCCCCCAACTTCTCTAGTTCTTGGTTGTTCCCAATGCTTTGGGGGCACCAGGACGTTTCACGCACACGCACGAAACCAATACCTCGCAGGACATGCGCGCCACTTACATTCTGTGCAAGTCTCGCTCTGCAGGCTGCTCTGCGCAAATTGTTCTGGGCAAGCTACAGTGCGCAAGTTGGTACAAGGGCTCCTCATGGAAGAACCCTTCGCGATGCTTTCGGGAAACCGAATTATAGAACGCACGGCGCAAATGGAAAAAACAAAAAACCAGCTGCCGCTTGGCTCTCACAACTGTCCAAAGCTCCACTGGCCATCCAGAAATCTGAGGCCGTCAAAGCTGGACTGCCAAGACTTTGAAGCCTGAAATTCGCCCGCTGGCTCTGAAAACTGCCAAACTGAAAGGCAATGCCCCACCCAACACCCAACAATGCACTGGCCTGCAGCTTGGGAGGTCTGGCACTGGACGCCCAGCCTTTCCCACTACAAACCTGCTCCTTCAAAGCGCACTCCTGGTATCAAGTCTTTACGTGGAACAAAACGGAATACCTAGCTTTTTCTACAGACCTCCTGCACCAGAATAACGATGACTGACAAAGCTGCCCAAAATAAGGCGGTGAGCAAGAGCACTTGTGAAGCCGAAAGGCGCTTGTCGGCACAAGTTGCATGAAAATGCCAGGCCAAAGACTTGGAGGCCTTGCCCAAATTCAGTCAAAAATGCAAATTACAGGCAGCCAATTGAAAGGTAAAGGTCCGAAGCCAAGGTCCAAACAGTCAGGGCCTTGACTGTTTGGTCAAGTTTTCACAAATCCATCTGGCACCCCCCAAGTTTTTGGGTGAAGGGCTTCAACTTACCCAAATTACGACCACTTCCGGTTGGGACCTCTGGTACCGCAACTGCGCCAGCATCTCAAGGCAAGTGGCCAGCCCCGCCTGGCCAAAGAGAGCGTGAGCTCCAGCAGGACAAATGGGTGAGGCTCAAAAATGGGTACCCAAAAGACCCAACATGGAACCCTGGACAATGGAACCAAGGACAAAAATTGTGGTCCCTGGTCTAATCTTGACCCATGCTCTAAATGAACATCGCCATACACGCTTGCACCACCGCCTCGAGATGGTGGACGGCAAGCGGCTTTCTAGTGGACGCCGGCAATATAGCATGAAAGCAAAGAGGGGGGGGAAGCGCACGAGTCATCCCACAACCTGCCCCCGGCCCCCTTTCACACACACACACTCACATCATCAGGCAGGCAAGCATCCGGGAGTGCCATTCTTCAAGCTGCTCGTTGCCACCATGCGGTGCCACTAAGTGCCACCATCAAGTGCTAGCCAAGTTGCCAAGAAAAGACACAAGCAGGATTTACTAATGCCCTATGGCCCGATGGATTCCTGAATCATGTCGGGGCCATGTCGCCCCCTACCTGCCCCACTGTTTGCAGCAGCGCGGGCTGCATGTCCTCGCACCTCGCACCAATTGAACAGAGCTGCGGTACTGTACTTAGGATTGAACGTGGCTTCCGGTAAGGTCCACGCGTCCGTGCGCCTGGGAGGCTTGGCAGCTGCGGGTGTGGGTCAAAATTAAACCACTAGGGGACCGCATGTTTTAGTCCATGTTTCCATTTACCAGTGTTCCATTTCGGGTACCTTTTTTTGACCCACAGCCATGCGGGAACAAGAGTGAGGGAAAAAAACAAGAGCCCTGCGCACATCTTCCAGCAAGGCTGCCTGGCATCTCACATCTGAAGTGCCACGAAAAGAAAGCGCGAGAAAGGATCATTCCAGGGCAGGAGGAACGAAACTATGAACCGATAGTGCACCATAAGCGAGCCAGCTGCACGCCCTTTGTAGCTCCATCAACCCATAGAGTCGAAGAGAAGGCCCTGCGAAAAGAGTGAAGGAAGGGGCGGGAAATAGCCTTGCAAGCATTACTCAACCTTGCGTGCCATCCTCCAGGTGGATCATTTCCAAGACACACACACACACACACCCACACCCACGGCTCCTTACTCGTGAAGGGCGGGACAGCCAAAGCCATTGCATGAAGCACTAAGCTGGGGCTGCTGCTCTTACTGCTGGAAGAGTGCCAACCCCGACAATATCCCTTTCAGCGAGACGGTCGGATTATCTGCCCGAAAGATCACGGGCGGACACGAAAGCGCCACCGCGTGCGGTTTCCTTGCTTATCTGCTTGTTGGACAGCCCATCCTGCGTGGCTGCAAGCCAGTGAATGCGGAAAGCGAGTTCAACAACAGAGTTCATTGAAAACCAAATCAAACCCATGCACATCCAGAACGAATTGGTCAACACACTGGTGACTTTGAGCAAGCGAATGCTTTGATTGAACTACAATCCACAACTGCCTCAACATCCACCCCCCCCCCCCCCACAAGCGCGGACAAAGTCCTACAACCACTGAAGATCAGATCATGCAAAACCCGTCAATTGTAAATGCACTTCGATCGAGACCAACGCCTAAACCTGCAAGTCTGTTTATCGGCCAGTTTCCTTCAGCACTGCAGCCGAGCTCACCCCAAACCAGAAACAACCTCACCCCTGCGCTTGGGCCTGACAGACCTTCCAGCGGATCACAGCACAGCACTTGACGGCATCGGCCCTTTTCCCCTGCACGGAGTCGGCTCTCGACCTCAGTGCCCGATCCAAGGTCCGCCCAGCTTCTCACGCCTCTGGGTCCAGTCTGGCTCGTCTGTGGATGGACGAAATCCATTTCGCACCACTTGGAAACCATGAGAAACCATTGTGCATTGGCATTTACAAGGGAATCATCATTCCTAGGTTTCTTAAGTGGTGCAGGATTTCATCCATCCACAGTAGGTCCGCCCCCCTTCTATGCAAGGTGTGGCAATCCAAGCAGGTCGACATCCAGGCTCGCGGCTCACAACTCATGACCATGGCCATGGCCGTGACCATGGCCGTGGTCATGGCCACCCTGCGGGGAGAAGCACACTTAACCCCTGCAATGTCACGGCTCTATGGATGCTGACTGAACAGTCGTGACGCAAGCCCACGTCTTCTGGCCACTCGAAAAACGAAGTTCCCGTCGGCAGGCGGCATCAAGATGGTCTCTTGGCACCTCGCACCCGCTACCAGCCTCAAGGTCGCCAATCCGCACCAGCACATAAGTGGCAAGAACCGCCAGGACGCAGCAAAGCCTCGGGCTCCAATTGGAGGTCGCACCGCGATCGATTTCCCCCCCCCCCCCCAAAGGCCCCACATCGCCGGCTTAACTTGGGACTGGATCTGGCCCCTTTTTGCCCTCAAAACAAAATGCCAGGTGAAGCCAGCTGCGCAAGCGCTAAGGTTTTAAGGCTGCAGCGCTTTCGCCATTGTGGCCGCACGCCCTTTGTGGTGCTTGTTGATTGACTCTGACACCTGGAGCTGAAGCTGTCGCGATGCATGCCAAGGGCCTGCTAAGTTTCTGTCGCACTTCACTTGTCTACCATAGCCAGCCCCAACTCAAAAGCTGAATGCTGCGCCTGCGGAAAGATCATGTTCAGCGACAAGGACAGGAAGCTGCCGGCGGTGAAAGCAGTCCTCAAGAGCTGGCGACTCGCGCTGCCATAACCTACTGCCAAAAATACAGTACACACATCCCAATTAAAGGCATGGTTTCTCTCTAAATTGGGGGGGGGGTCAAGCGCGTTCCAGCATGTCGTGGAGATGTGCCTAAATTCAAGGGGTCAACTGACTTCTTTCTTCGCATGCTTACCCCTTTGCTTTCCCCTTTGCTGAGGGGAGGTGTTGTGCTACCACGACAGGGCTTCCAATTATAACTCTGGTTGCCAGTAGGATGTGGGATCTGAGCCTTGTGAATGACACAAATGAAACAAGCAGCAGGTTTGCGGCTTGCTTTCATGAGCCACTGGCAAGAAAGAACAATGCCAAAATGCCACTTGGATGCGGAACTCGCGAAGAGTTCCTATCTCCGAGTGTGGCGCATGTACTGCTGCACAGCTGCAGCCAGCTCTGTTTGGCCTTGGCGCAGCTCTGCATCCGCGCACTTGCTGGCTATGCGGCCAGCAGAAAGGCCTTCGATCTCCGAGGTCGCGGCCCAGAACATGAACTAGGGCCACCTGAGAATCTGTCTGGAGCTTGCTGACAAAGGACCAGCCCCCGAAGAATGAGCTGCTGCTTAACATTGAACCCGAAAAGGGTCCGTCCAAAGAAGCGCCTCTACACATCATGCGTTGATTGCTCTAGAATGTTGAGGGTGTGAAGGAAAGCTGTTGACTATGAACACCCACGCTCCCGTGTGCATGCCTCGGGCTGCTTTCTCTTTGGGAGCAGAGAACAGGCAGGATACGGTCTATGGTGTTGACAGTTTGAAGTGCAGCCTGCACCGGCTGATGCTGATTCAAGCTCTTCAGCTTGCATGACGGCGACCCTGCAGCTAGAGCCTCTGCCTCGAAAAAACGCATACACTAGAATCAAGGCAACTTGCCTACCGTGAGTGCTGAATTCAGATCCTCTGGCCACGTGGCCAAAAGAGTCTTCATGCAGGATATCATCGCCCACGGCCATTTGCCAAAATCTCCAGCTCTCACCCTGACAAACTGGCCAACCCCCACCAACAAAAACAAAATACAACTCCGAGCCTTAGCCAACGCTCAGACCCGACAGCCCAACCCTAGGACCCCCACTCACCCCATGGGCCCCCCACCCCGGCCACGCAGGTCAGGGACGCCACAAAGTTCCAGAAGAGCAGCTTGGGCACCGGAAACCCCGCAGCCCGGAGCACCATGAAATCCCCCAGCTCCTCAGGAAGGGGCCAGGAACCCTCCAATGCAAACCCCTTGCACCTTGGAAAGTCTCAGATTCAAAGGGTTGATGGGCTCAAGGGTGATGACTTGGCATGACTTGGCCATGCTACCACCCGCATGGAGTTGTGGAGCATCGCTAAGGGCTCAAACAGCGCAGTGCAGCCGGTCCTGGGGGAGCTCATGCACCTGGCTTCGCGTTTTGGCGTGCGCTGCACGCTTCATGTGTTAGCCACTTTGGGATCCTCAAGTTCACACATGGATTGAACCCTCTAAGCATACGACTGCAACTGCCAGCGCTGTGGAAATACCTGGCATTAACATGGGGCCGACAGTAGTGGAATGCCGGGTGTGCGAACTCAACACCTGTTCAGCGACAAATGTGCCCATCTCAATTTAGCAGCAATAACTCCACCTTCATGCGAGCCACAATCAAAACCCGGTACTAAAATGGTGAACCCAGAACCATGTAAAGAATTCAGAAGGCGGCCGCAGCTACCTTCGCCTACCCGGGTTTTGATTGTGGCTCAGGTGAGGTGCAGAGCAGCTGATGCAATCTCCCACCTGCTGGTGCCCCTGCCATCCATGCCAATCCAAGACCTGCAAACCACGCGGCGCGAAAAAATTGGGAGGAAAGCTCAATCTACTCAGTCGAAGGGTGGTTCGGGTCAGCAAAGCTTTGGACCAACCATGGACATCTATCTGCATTCTCTGGCTTCGTGTCATCGGCCCGTTGGCCGAGAATTGCAAAAAAAGGCGGGCAGCCGGCTGGGTGCACCCTCGCTGACTGGGGGAGGTGCTAATTCCGTCGACGAAGTTGTGCATCATTTCGGTGACCTACAGCTGGACCAGCTGCGTGCAAGATGCACCCAGTGCTGCGTTGAGCTATGCGCAGAATCCAACCAACGCTCAAAAGCTAACAAGTTGACAGATTAAACCTTAGATGTGCTCGCAATTGAAAAACCGCTCAGGCCCTGTCCAGATTGGCTATGCCATAGGCATGCACCTGCGGGACAGAAGCCTTGCTTACACAAGGGAACGCAAGTACAGGGTCACCTCACCGCTGCGTCGGAATGCTGACTCTGCATGCAGCTAATGTCATGCTGCCCTTCGCAGCTCTCCGACACCGAAGCAAACCAGCAGACAGGATCCCAGTGCCTGATCGTGATGCTCGTGGCAATCACCTGGCAGACGCCGCTTTTTTGTTGTTTCATCCAGCGTCCTTCCAGGCAAACCTGGCATGCGGTGAGGTGTCAGCCGAACGCGCCTTTGTGTTGATGCGGCTCACAAAGCTCCGGCACTGCCAGGATTCCCAGGCCTCAGCTTTCGGGGCAATACTTCGCGTCCATTGGTCTGGCCTGGCTAGGTGAAGACATCTGCAAAAGACTTCCAGCTTTTCGCGAGGTCAGGTGAGCCCAATTTTTGCGGCTGGTTGCAACAGCGGGCTCAAGCAAGAAGGCTATGTCCAATCTGTCTGACCTCTTTCACTGAGATGCCCAGTGGCCATGTGAGAAAAAACAGGTCGTCTCTTTTCGAGTTTGAAGGAATCGGAAGCCTTTCCAAAAAAAGGAAAGGAACCGACACTGGCCTCACACGAACAAAGTGCTTGGGCCGGGACAGCCCACGGTCGCAGCGATGCCCACGGAGGTCATCGTGCCATGGTCGGCCCCCTGGGATTTGGTACGCCGAAATCGACGGCATTCCGCGGCAGAAGTTGATCGGCGTTCTCGCGGGTTCCTTTGAACCGATCGCCACTTTTGGATTATCCAGAAAGGGAAGTGGCTCAGAAACCCTGCCAAAACAGCGACGGCAGCCGATGTTTTGCGAAGGCAGACGGACCTCATGCCTCTATGAGGCCTCTGCCACGCCTCCAGCGCATGAGGCAGCAAATGGACCAGCGCATCTGCCACCAGCACCTCAGCATGAAGTGTCAGCTCCGAGGCAGTCGGTGGCTGGACCCCACAGAATGACGATGCGCAAGGGAGCTGACTAATTGGCCGGCAACTCTTTGTCAACTTCTCAGCCAGGCGTGTTGACCAAATGCTGTACTGCAGCAGCCCGAACTCAGGCCCCCTTTGCTCGCCAGGGCTCAGTGGCTGCAAACGTGAGGCTGCAGTACTCCACAACAGGCCCCAACCTCCGTGCACCGCTCCCTTTCTGGAAGCTGCCCATCCGCGCAGCTGCTCAGCTTCGCGCTTGGGCATACGCAGCAGCACCAGTAACGCGGCACCTGCAAAGCGACTCTTCGGTTCCGGCTCTCTATGGCTCTGGGGTGGCTGAGACAGCAAAACCAAGGGCATAAGGCTATTTCATTCCCCCCAGCCGGGTGCACTGAACCCTTGGTCTGGCTGCGAGTCGTCATCCACAGGCCTGCGAAGCTGATTGCGCTCATCACGAGGGCTGAGGCCTGAAGAAATCGAAACCGCTGCATGTCTGGCATGGGTCAGCACTTCTTGCCAAACGCTTCAGCTCCATTCGGTTCAGCCCCCAGCATAGGCACAAAGCCATCGATGGCCTGGGGCGCCACTCCAACAAGCAGGAGATCTGCAAAGCACACCCTAGACCTCCGAAAATTCACAGGCTTCACAGCGCTCTTTAGCCAAAACCTGGCTCGCAAGAAGGCATTGCCGCGTGCCACATCCATCGCCGAACCAAGTCTTGCTGATGTCTTGCTGATCTCTGCGCACGGCATTCCTATGTGATAGGCTAAGACTGTTGGGCGGCCGCAAAGCTACGGAAGCCATGGCTTGCCAGATATAATTATGCTGTACGGAATTCAAGTAGCTTGTTTCATCATCGTCTAAACTTGTGCGTTTGGCAAAAATTATGGCCGGATAAAACAAGCTGCGTGCCTCAAACTTGCAAGTAGAGGGAATGCCAGCTAACAAAACGCGGTGGGATCGCAACACATGTCACACTTCGCAACACATCTCACTCTTGCTGAGTTGCGCCTGTCAGGACACGTCTAACTAAACTGAGTACCACGCTTGCATGGAGTGGTTTGGCCTTTGGCGCTTGGCTGCATTCTGAACAGACGCCGCAAATTTCCTGACCACTCCCTTTCTGGAGCCACATGCAACTGAGGAAACCACAAATGCTGTGAAAGAAATCAGCACCTCTGGCAAACTGGCACCTCAGAATATCATCGGCCAGCTCGGCACGTTTAGCACATTGAAGTCTGACGCTGGGCCGCTGGCCGTCCTCCGCACTATGGGCGTTGTGCCCATGTACATCGTGCTCATGCACGTCGTGCCCATGTGCGTCGTGCTTATGGGCGTCGTGCCCATGTGCGTCGTGCTTATGGGCGTCGTGCCCATGTACGTCGTGCTCATGAGCGTCGTGCCCATGTACGTCGTGCTCATGAGCGTCGTGCCCATGTGCGTCGTGCTCATGGGCATCGTGCCCATGTGCGGCGTGGGCGCCCTGCTCGCGAGCGCTAGTCTCATGGGCATGCTCGTGGGCATCGTGACCTGGAGTGAATCACATGCCATTTTAGGCAGCGAGCCTATCCCAAACTAAGCTTCCAGCTGGCTGATTCTGTTGCATGCCAATGACCACCCTCAGGCATGTCAGCGGAATGGCCAAGATCTCTCTCTGTGCTGTGGAAAGCCCCATGTTTGGAAACGCGGCAGGCCCTTCCCGAGGAGACATCCCCAGCGCAAAAGCCCACACAAGCCCGAACATCAGCACAAGCAAGTGAGATGCAATTCGCTTGCCGTGCCTCATCACGGCCTCTGGCCAGGCCTGCCAGGCACCTTACATCTTGCATGCTTGGAGTCAGAGTCACGCTGTTGCCTGTTGCGAGCTGCACTTGGGTCGCAAGTCATGCTCCTTGTCCGTTCTGCTCACAGCGCAAGACGTGGTTTCAGCAGCTATGGCCAATCTGGAGTTCTAGCCGCAATGGCTGCAGCACACCTTGTAGCTTAGACGAAAAGCGCGGGCAACGGCCACAGCCCTGCCCACACCTGCCACTGGCATTGGCACTGGGACCGGCCGCCACCGACTACCGGCACCAAACAAAATCACTCCCTACGCTGGAGAAAAAACAAATCATGGCCTAACACAAACCAGCCAGCAAACTGGCAGGCAAGGACTTTCAAAACAAAGTTCGCCAAAGCCATCTCCGGCACCACCGTCTTGATGCCAGCGCAGGCATTGGATGCTGCACTAGAAATAAAACGGTCTTGACCAGGGGCGCCATGAACATACGCTCCCTCCCGCTTAGGGTGGGGCGGAGGGGGGGGTGCGGGAGACAAGAGCCGAGGCCCCAGCACGGATGCCAGGACGATGCGGACCAAACGCGTCATGGCACTTGTCCTTGCCTCTTATGATTGCTTGCTGGGCGTGGGCTGCATGGATTCCCACTGGCTGCCTATCGGACACAAATGCACCATACGCCCCAAGTTGCCACTACAACCTGCAGGTCAATTTGTTACTTCTACCTTTGAGTCTTGTCCTTGCCTCCTGCTAGCGTTCTCAATTTCTTTGACCTGGCCTCAGCCTTGGCAACTGGCTGCAGGGCAGTGACTTTCGAGAGGGACATGTGACATGTGCCTAAAATTGCCCACACATCCGATCACTTGCCCAGGTTTGCGTAAGCCTCTGCATATCTGCCACACATGCAGTGATACAACTATGCCTTGAGTCAGGTGCGCGGCGCGTCATCAAAATCGATCCTCATGCAAATGTGCGGAAGACGGTGCCTTGTCAAGTCGACATAGCCGCATCGAATACTGGGAGCCAGCTGGTTTGCACGCAAACTTTAAACGAGTAGGAACTGTTCAGGCCGTTCAAAAATCGAAAGTCAGGAAACATGGGCCACAACTTTCACACATGCTCACCGGGACTCTCAGGCCTCCCCGAGCTCAAGTTGGCCGCTGTTTGCCATGTTCGCACAGGGCAATGAAGATATAAGTTGCTGGATGGTTGCAGGTTGCAGGTTGGCGTCATGAACCATCAGCACTTCAGCCAGTGCTCAAATGTGTCGCCCAAGCAGGATGAGAAGCTAAGCCACCAAAATTCGCCAACAAATCCATTCAAACACAGAAAGCTTGCCGGACCTGCAAGCTGACAGAAATCTGTCAAATGTCAGCTCGTGGTCGTCGGTTCCTTGCCCAAAGATTCTGACGTTTGAGGCAGCGGGGCAAAGCCCCGAAAGTTCCGAGAGACAGAGCGCTCAACAGCTTCGCAGATGGTTGCGGGCGGCGCGGGGTTGTCTTTTTCTTGCTCCCAATACCCGGTTTTGCAGCCAGCTAGGATTGCTTGGCAAGGCCGCCGGAAACGGAGGTTCCCCTCCACGTCTGGACTTCCAAAATCAAAGATAGTGCCTATACAGACTATCCCACCCAGACCATCGGATTTCCGAACCCTTCTGGATGTGTGGGGGGCATGGAGCGACACCCCAGCATGATCGTAAACCAACGCAGCTCGGCCAATGCCACAAAACTCACTCCATGCCAGAAAGCACCTTGCACGGAACTCGCCCGTGACCCGCTTGCAAAAGAAACAACGCAAGGCCGTTTGGCCACCAGAAGCCTGCATTGCAGCTTCCCAGCCAAACTGGTCACCAACATAATAGCTTCTTCTTGACGTCACCAGCCGTCTACTCGACACCACGCAGTGTCCTGAAATCCCTAATCAAAGGGCTGCTTGCCTGGAGGGCTACAAAGCCTCATGAATGCGAGTGACAAGCTCGCCCTGGACCTAGCATGTGGCAACAAAGCAATCGCCAAGGGTGAAGCTACGGGAGCTTCAGGAAAACATCCGAAGCGTGCTGTGCCCACTGCATGAAATGCGTTTTGCCCAGGCCTTTCGCCACTGATTCCTCTGCTAAACAGAAAGCCGCGAACCATCACTTCTCAAATTCTGAACATTGTGTTGGGAGTATGACGCTGTGGCGGTCGCTGTCGCCTCTCATACTATGCGGCGTCAAAACCTTCAACGCCTTGCTGCCAGTCTGTTGCCTTGCGGTTCCAGCTAGCCGGAAACAGTGCGGTGCGGCAGTCTGGCGACCTTGGATAGGGCAAGTGGCAAGAATCGAAGCTGCCCTTGTACCCGCCGTCTCTGATGGGGTGCCGCAGGCATTGGTCATAGCTTTCAGTCACGTCATTCGCAAATCAGTGGCCAAGACCGGAACTGGCTATCTCCGAGCAAAGAGGGGCAACTTCGCAACATGGGGTCTGCACTCCACAAATATTCAAACGACATCAGTCTCGCTAACTTCCAGGCTGGTTTCACATGCCAAGGCGCACTCCACGTGTTAGCCCCGAGGTCGACCGCATGCGAAGTGCGTCAGGCTGGTCCGACTCTGCCTCCCGAGCTCTCATCCGCCCGAAAAATGTGTGCAACGAACCATCCAGGATGGGTTTACGAAACTAGCCGTGAGCTCATCCGAGGCATAAGCACCACAACTCTCTAGCACTCCCTGGGGGCCCATGTTGCGCTGCCTGGGGCAGGCGGCTCTCCAAATGGACCGGCAGCGGCGTTTGCCGAAAGTCCACACCCCAACTGCGGATCTCCCCTTAGTCGCATACTGCGGGCCAACCGCAGGATGGCTTGCGCAGCGCGGCAAACACATGCTGTGTGAACCTGAGCTGGTTGAGTTGCTCGGCGCTTCGATCTGTTTGCCGCGCTGCAGGAGGCGCTTGCGCTTTCCCAAAGTTTCCGCAAGGGAAGCCATGCTTTGTGAGGGGCCTAGACATACACTTGACCGTTCATTGCTGCCAACATAGCTTTCTCAGCCGACTGCCGAGGCAACTGGCCCATAAACAGCAAACCGACTGCCGAGGCACCAAGCAGCTTGTACATGACCCGCGTGGTGTCTTTCCGAATCTCAGGGATGCTCTGCCAGGGGAGCCGGTGCATGAGACGAATGCCTCAGCGTCAGATTTTCTCCGATCGAGGACTGTGCGAACACATCCGAATCACAATTCCCTGCCATTCCTGCGCTGAGCACCAGGTGGCAAGGTTTAGGTCAGTAGATGCTGCAAGATCATCCCTGATGCGCAATCACCAAGCTCTTTCCCCAAAGAAAATCAGAGAGAAGTGGAGAGAGAGAGAGAGAGAGAGAAAAAGAAACAAACAAAGAAAGAAAAAGAAAAGACAAAGATTAACAAAAGACAAGACAGAAAATAACAGAAAGAAAAAGAAAGAAAGAAAGAAAGAAAGAAAGAAAACGAGCCAAGGTGCAATGGGTGGTAACGCCGGCCAGGTCGCAGGTGGCACGCCCGTGGTTCACCGCACAGAAGGAGCGCACATAGGACGGCACCCATGCCTTCGGCGATACGCAAACCGAATCAAAATGAGAAATCCTGTCCCCCTGATAAAACGGCACCTCCCCTAATAAGCTGGTCCCCCGAAGAATACAAGCAAAAGTGAAAACCTGTATTATTAGGAGGAAGTGATATATATAAATTCGAATGCGATTGTTTTGCCACCAATTTCTTGCAGAAGTCGAAACGCGAGCGCCGGCAACAAGCCTCCTTTTCAGAGGAGACGTACTGGTCCACGTAGGCATTGATCCTGACTGGCTCAAAAGCGGAAACGTTTTGCATGTCACGAAACGTGACGTGTTAGGAGGCGCGTTGCTTCAGTGACCCTTGTCACCTGTACTCATGCTAGCTCTTGCCAGCAAAAGAGGGGGTGGGCGAGGATACCCCCGTTCAAAGACAGTGCAGCAATAAGGCTCAGCAAGAAAAACAACCAAAAGCCTCAGAAACCGCAAGACTACCTCTCACAGGATCCCTCTGCCAGAGTTGGTGAGGATCTACATGGCTCCCAGGCCGGGACCTCCGAATTGGTGGGCCAATTGAACTCCCGTTTCCCTGCCCAGAAGTAAGATGATCGCACAAATTCGTCGCACCAGACCTCTGGTGGTTGGCATGACCCTGCTCGTCCACAACACGGGCAAACATGGCAAACACGAAACTGGTTGCCCAAACTCTCCTGGAGAGGATGTCCATGGAGACTTCCGAGGTTTGGAAAACAATGTTGATCTCCACCACTGCGTTCAGGGACCGACCAAGGTTCAGCAAGGTGTCCTGGCCGTGACGGGTTGCTTTTGCTGGGCCTGGCCGAGGCTCAGGTCTCCCTTCAGGTGCCTGGGACAGTCCCAAAACCCCAACGCGCTTGTGACAATCATGGCATGCCTGATGTGCCAGCAAGACACATCTCTCCCCAGCCTCGTGGAAGAGTTTGGAGTTTTTGAGGTACACACAATGGTTGGACAAATCTCGTGCTTCCGTGGTCAGGATGTTGATCCTTCGCACCCAGACATGCCCAATCTTTGGCAAAGCCTTCCCTTCGTCAGAATCGCGGCAGACACTTGTTTTTCTATAGCGCAAGCATCCAAATGTCTCTTTATCAGTCTTTCTCCGCGTGCATAAGCTTCGGCAATCAAGCTTGACATCCAATGCCAAGCATCTTCTGAATCGTGTAGATTGTGTCTTGCAGAAGGATGCGGTCACCCACATCATACGGGTGCATCACCAGCAGGAGCACCACGCTTTCAAAGGTCTCCCTGAGCCTTACTTGCAGGAGGCTCAGTGCAGCGAGAATCTCTGCAGGCCGCGGGGTCTTGCATGCCGACTCTCAGCGAAACGAACTCGTCCGGCCAAGGGGCAAGTTCCCAAAAATGAAGGACAGGCCCAAGGCGACTGTCGACATGCTGAGGCACACAGCTCGCAGAACCTGGACCGATCACGAGACAGTGAGCCAATACCTTGAGTGAAAGGTGTTGTACAAGTCGAGGATTCGCCACCACATGCCACCACAATTCTCAGGATCTGGGCCGCAACACCTGGCCTGAACACCCGCAACACCTGGCCTGAAAACTCTCATCGCCTGCAACACCTGGCCTGAACCCCTCATGGGCCCGGATCAAACCGGATTGATCGCGGGGGGAATTCCCGGCCTCTGGCGGGAAGAAGGTGCCCAGTATGATGACCACCGAGATGAGGATCTGCACCGCGTTGACCACGTTGCTGAAGACCAGCCAGATGGCCGCATAATCCTTGACCTAGCTTGAGCGTGGCCCAACAAAAGGGACATCCAGCCTGCGCAAAACGAGGAACAGCCCACTCTCACATGTGTTGACCCGAGTGGGTTGGCATCTCCGCGCCAAGCTGCGGTGGCCGCAATCATGTGGAAGCGCTCAAACGCACCTGCCATTCGTCCGGCTTCAATGCATGGCAAAGCTCACGGAGCCAAAGACAAGTGCTCTGCAACACCTTGCCAACACATTGGAAGGCACCGTGACATAACTTCGCGGCGCCTCGTGTAGTGGAAACAAAGTCCCCCTCGCCGATACAAGGGGAGCTACGGTTTGAAAGCATCTGCCAGGTCATAGCAGCCTCTTCCTCGGACAAAACAAATCCGGCCAACGTGTTCGAGCAGGTTTCGGCTGTTACATGCACACAGAGAGCGAGAGAGAGTTCGTGCCGGTGACATTCAGAAGGGACGGGACCACTTAGATACTCAAAGATAATGTGTACCAGGCATGCATGCATGTCTCTCGCTCTCTCTTTTTCTTTCTTTCTTTCTTTCCTTTCTTCCTTTCTTCCTTTCCTCCTTTCTTCCTTTTCTTTCTTCCTTTCTTTCTTCCTTTCCTCCTTTCTTCCTTTCTTCCTTTCTTCCTTCCTTTCTTTATTTCTTTCTTTCTTTCCTTTCTTTTCTTTCCTTCCTTCCTTCCGTTCTTTCTTTTTCTTTCTCTCTCTCTCATTCTCTCTCTCTCTCTCTCTCTCTCTCTGTCTCCCTCTCTCTCCCTCTCTCTCCCTCATTATCGAGGAGATCTCGCTTGCATATCATGTGCATTTCTGTGCACATAGCAAATCATTCATCCACAAATATGCTTGTGTACATGAGCAGCCCCAACAGAGTCGCCGGGGCTTGAACGGCCGATTCCAGACGCAAAGCCTACAAGGCATGCTGGCCAGGCTACCCCCTACTCCAAATACCGTCTTTTTTCAGAGTATCATGTCGACCCTCTACTAAAAAAGGAGGTATTTACCATGGAAAATCAGGTTTGAGTAGGGGATAGTTGTAATTGCTCCCCTCCCAGCTGGCCACGTTCGCAGCAAGCTGCTTCAGGCATAATAGCTCTGATGTCCATGAAGGAAAGCTGCTTGACGCTCTCAACTTCTGCGTGCGACCTCGGGTTCTCAGAAGGAATGCCAGGCCAGAAGCAGGCAAGGAGTGACAAGAAGCACTCTCTGGCCACGGCGCCCACTCAAAGGAAAAGTCCGCAGTGGAAATATTCCTCGTGGGAGTTGAACCATCATGGCACTAAGTCTTGGGAGGGTGCAGCAAGAGACTTGCTGACATGGGGTGCCTCTTCTTCGCATACCTGAAATGCCCCTTGATGCCTTCGCATCAAACAAGGCGACCCCTTGAAAAGCGAGCTTCTGCAAGTCGACTTGAGGTAAGCATGAGGCCTTGATCGAGCTTCTGCCACTTCTCAACCCCCTTCCAGCTGAAGCATTACTAAGCACCTTGAGCATGGCCAAGCGAATTCTGCGCCTTAAACGCTTAAAGCAGCCCCCAGCTTGCCTTAGAACCAGGGTTGCAGTCCTCGCCAGCGGTTCAGGCAAGTGGCTCCTCTTGTCCAGACTCACTGGCTCCAGGCAGCGATTGCGAGTGTGTAACATCCCACTCATCCGGCAAGCTGGGGCTGCGACTCATGCCTGGTGCAGGCCAAGTTCCAAAACCCAACCGCAACCCGGACCCAACGAGCACCCATCGGCGAGCATTTCATGAGACTCTGAGGTTGAAATCACACCATGTCAGCGTTTACAAGAACAGGAAACTATGGCCTGGCCTAGCTCCATGTCGGACGTAGGCCGGGACAGCTTTGCATACGCCCGTTTGGCTGACGCGTCGATGTCATCGTACTTGCCATCCATCCGCATAAAGAACCTCTGCATGGTGACAGCTGTGACCAGTATTCAAGCAACTCAAGCCACAACATCAGCAGGATGCGCAGGTGCAGACCTAGCAAACCCAGGCAAGCCAAGCAGACCTCCCGATGAAAACGGAAGAATACATCCAATCAACCCTGCACATGTCCTCATATGTATTTTGCCGTGTTAATTATTGAAGAATTCGGCTAACATGCAAGGGCTACAGTGTAGTAGCAGTCGTGCAAGTGGACAACCAGTCCATCGGCACAATCATATCCTTTCCACAAACTCCACACCCTCCCTCCAAAACTCCAAAGCCCTCCCAAAGTCCAAGACCCATCAACCAGCCCGTGGTTTGTAAGGCTCATTCGTCTTGGCCACGTGGTGGTGGAGCTGTGCTGCAGGCTGCGGAAGAGATCCGCGCCGCGGCCCAAGGAAATCGGCCAGCCGTGCACGGAGCCGCTGCTGACCCGCACCGGCCGCCGGACTGGCGAAGACTCGTCGACGTGGCGGGCCGGCCGCTGGGCTGAGGAACCCCTCCCTTTCAACAACCAACGGCTGCCAGTCAGTGTAAAAACAACTGTTCCGGGGTGAAAACCAAGCGACCTCGGGGTAAAGACAACCAGTTGTTGCTTGAAGGTGAGGACAATGGCTGCAAGGGGGCCGCAGGCATCAACCACATCTATGATGGCTGCATGATCTTGGCATCGGGGTTCTGAACGGCTCGTGGGGGGTGGGGTGGGGGGGGGGGTTGGCATTCGTGGTCATTGACGATCATATTAACGGCGTTCGTTTGCAGGTTAGTCTCCAAGCAAAGCCATAAGGTCAGCTTCTTGAATTTGTTTTTTATGGATGTGGCGATGTAGGCATTTTGAGGGCGCAGTGTCGCCTGTGAAGACTTTGGTAGTTTTGGGAAACCCGGGTGGCTGAGAAGATGCCGCAAATCTGAGAGCAGTTTTGGGCAACCTATGCGGCCGCAACATGGCGTAGATCACAGTTTGCAACCCGTGCAGCCGAAAACGTGCCGCGGATCTGAGAAGGCGCGTGGGAAGGAGGCAAAAGCTTTGCAGGCTTCCCCCTGGAATGATCTTCGAACCGGCAACCGTTAACGAGCCACCCAAAGCCCCGTCACCATGTGTTTGCCATCCTTTCGGCTTCCGCCCGCTCGAAACTGGACATGGACAATGGCTGCACCCGTCTTCGAAATTTAGTTTCACGCCTTCCTTGCCAAACAAAAAATGTCTCGCAGTGGGACGTGATCCTGCACCCTGGTCTGGAGGCTGCGAACTGGCGAGGGAACACATGCTGGTGGAGATGTCGCCTGTAAATGCTGCTGGACACCCCGCAGTGTTGCGCTTTGCTTTGTGCGTGTTACTTGGAAGCAAGCAGCTAGGCATGGGTCAGCGACGGAAACACGCCTGGATCTTGTTCTTAGGTAGTGGTATGCCATGCACAAGGTGTCAAGCAACCGGCTCCCATTCAGCCAGGCCTTGGCCAGGGCTGTACGCCTTTCGCAAATGCTCGGCCGTGAGCTTCTCAAAGGCATGTGGATCCTGGCGTCAGTTGCAATCGGGCCGTGCAAGCGAAAGCGCGAGAGCTGGGTCTGGGTTTCAAGCCAGTGGGGGCAAACCACGCCTCATGAAGCCCATGCACAGGGGTCATTATTTTGACTGTTTCTGGGGGTTATCAAAGTCAGAATGTGGGGTTGTTTCCCTTGAACCCACCACTTAGGGGATGACTTTGATCATGGTAAAATTACACCAGCAGAGACCCCAAACAGTTGAGGGCTGACGGGCGAGCACAAACATGCCAACAGCTTGTGGCTTTCTGCGCTTCAACACGGATGAATCAAAATGATGCAGTCGTGAACCTGGCGCGCGTTGCGTTGCTGCACGTGTGTTGCTGGCGTGCTTCGCGCTTCAGCACCGCGCCAGAACTGAGGTTGGGCAAGCGCGCGCGATGGCGGGCGAGCGCGCGCGCGTGAACGCAAGTGTGGCCGCGCAAGCACGCAGTCACATGGGCAGTTCAAACACACATGTCCAATTCAGACACACATGTGTGTACACGTGGAACACACATACGTATACGACTGAAACAGTATACATTCACCTGCGGCACACGCATAAATGTGTTGAGCTGGAAAACAAACATGTGCTTCTTGGAAAGCACACACACATGTGCAAACGTGGAACGCACATATGTGTTCACTTACGACACGCTAATGCGTTCACGTGGAACACACATGTGTGTTCACTTGGAACACAATGAAACGCGTGTCCAATTCAGACACACATGTGTGTACACGTGGAACACACATGCGTTCACCTGGAACACAAAGACGCGCAATTAAAGCACACATGTGTGTACGCGTGGGACACACATATGTATACCACTGGAACACAAACATGTGTCCACCTGGAACACCGCGTGTGCGATTAAAGCACACATGTGTGTACATGTGGAACACACATATGCGCACACGTGAGCAAACATAAATGCTCACCTAAATCGCACACACATGCGCGCACCTCGAAAACAATCATGCGTTTTCTGGAGCGCATACATGTGCACACCTGGAGAGCAAATATGTCGTCAGATGCCAAAAAAAGTTCATCTAGCACATACTAATGTGTTCACGTGAAACACACATCTGTTCACCTGGAACACAAACACGTGTCCAATTGGAACACACATGTGCGTACACGTGGAACACACATATGTGCACACGTGAACACGCATATGTGCACACGTGAACACTCACATATATGTGCACCCGGAACACACACCCGTGTGCTCATCTGATAACAACCATGTGTTCTCCTGGAACACAAACACGTGTCCAATTGGAACACGCATGTGTGTACACGTGAACACACATATGTGTACACGTGGGAGACGCAAATGCGCACACGTGAACACACACACATGTGCACACGTGGAACACACACATGTGTACTGCACATGTGAACACACACATTTATGCGCGCGCGGAAAACACAGACACACACGAGTGTTCATCTGATAACAAACACGTGGTCTCCTGGAACACAACCGTGTGTCTAATTGGAACACAACCGTGTGTACACGTGAACACACATATGTGTACACGTGAACACACACATATTTATATATATATATGCGCACCCGGACACACACACACACGTGCGTTCATCTGAAAACAAACATGTATTCACCTGAAACACAAACACGTGTCCAATTGGAACAAACATGTGTGGACACATGAACTCACAAATGTGTACATGTGGAACACACATATGTGTGCAAATGAACACACATACATGCGCACGCGGAGCAGACACACACACACACACACACGCGTTCATCTGATAACAAACATGTGTCCTCCTGGAACACAAACACGTGTCCAGTTGGAACGCACATGTGTGCACGCGCGAACACACAATGTGTGCCGTGAACACACATACAAAAAAGTGCACGCGGAGCAGACACACACGCACGTGTTCATCTGATAACAAACATGTGTTCTCCTGGAACACAACCGTGTGTCTAATTGGAACACAGACGTGTGTACACGTGAACACACATGTGTGTACACGTGAACACACATATATACGCGCACCCGGAACACACACACACACGAGTGTTCATCTGTGTCAAGAGACGGCAAGGTGACGTCCCGTGGGACGCTATGCACCGAACCCTCAAGCTGTAATACCAACCACGTAGAAAGGTGTATACGGACGATGCCGTTATAGCCGAACCCGTGTAAACGTTGTAAGGAAGAAGGAATGATAGTTACAACAGTAGTCCTGACAAATGCAGCGCAAGCAGTTGTTTTCGCTCTTAATGCCGATCACGTAGGTCTGCAGTCACACATCAGATCTTGAACCTCAATTGTGTCTTGAGCCAAATGGCGATCAATGGAACTTGGGAAGCAACACCAACAAGGACCTCAGAACAGCTACCCAATTTCGGCACGGGGCCTAGAGGGTTTTAACATCCCCCATTTGGGTCGCATTGTTCATCATGCGGTCCAAACACCACAAAACGTTCCACTGGCCACGGCTTCAACTACGAAATCGTGTCGTGCATTCTTTTACTTGCTATCACTACACCGTTCATTCGCTGTGAAACATGCCGGGTTCGATTGTACGAAAAGTGAAACATTCATCCTCCAATCGAAGCACACATCCATATGCAGGTGTATATAATACACTGTGGCCACTTCACTTGACCGCCAGTGAACATTCCAGCTGCCGCATTTGCGCATCGCGCAGCTGTCATCCATGAATGGGTTGGCCACAAAAGTCCACCAGACGCGCCCGCTTGTGATCGGTCTGCATATCTCCGGCAAAGAAACATCGGTGAGTAATCAATGCAAATCTTAGCCATTCCAGATACCATGGACAATGCATAAATAATGAAAAGATATCATCTATAAGGTAATAGTTCCATCCATGAATATCCAGAGCGTCATAGTCATCGGAATATGTAACCATGTACACATCCATTCAACTTGGATATATGAAATCATATCATAATGTAAAGTCGTTCCATCGCAATGGTGTTGATGAGACGCAAGCAACAGATGGGGACTAACCCACATCGTGCCGCAATCAGCATCTTCACTACGCATACCGGTCCCCAATGGACAGTCTGTGAGTGCGTCGACGGAACTCCTCGTCCAAGTTCTTCTGGGCTTCTCGTGCCCGGACACACTTCTTGTTGTAGTCCTCTGGCAACCAGTGCCCTTTCCGAAGGCACCAATCCAGCAGGGGTGTGTCGCATTTGTTCGGGTCGACGGCCGAGATGATGGCGCTCACGTTGACCGTGTAACCATGTTTGCCAAGGTTCAGGCCATCCCTCACGAATGATATATACTTACAGTTGAAAGCTAGTGCAAAACATCTGAAAATAATATCACCCACCGGGTGCACTCGGTCCTTGACCAGGAGCTTCATTTCTTCCTTGGTGACATCGAGGATTCTCGCTGCAATCCACAGCTTGTAGAATGTGTAAAGTCCCTCGCATTTGCACACCATCATACGAATATATTCGTCACGCTCCTCAACCGATCGGAAGGCTCTTGTCCGAACATTCTCCGACTGAGAAATCTTCGTTGTTGTTGATGGCAATAGTATACCTTCCTGATCGTGCTCAGTGATGTTGGGGTACCTCTTGAAATCATTGTGGTAAGGGCAGCCCTCTCTCCCCTCGAGCTTGGCATTCATCGTTCTCTCCTCACCACCCTCGAACATCCCCCACATCTTGGACATCTGGAGTGCGATAAATCCTGCCATGTACTGAGCCTCACGCGGCTCGTCAAGGCAGATCGCCATCCGTTGGGAACTTATAATGTCCCGTGACGCCAGATCGGTGTCGCGGTAATGCCAACCGCTGTCTTCTTCTTCTGACGCATAGCCGGATGTATATCCTTGCGTGTCCATGTCGTCATCTTCTCCCGGAACTTCCTCCGCTTCGTCTTCATCCTCCTGTGCTGCCGCATCGTGGTTAGCTTCTTCCTGTGCACGCCTGGCATCTCCAGAGACGTTGGGGTTTTGGTTGTCCTCCTCGTCATCGGATTTGATGTGAATGTAGTATCTTCCGATGGAGATCAGTTGTGCTTCGCATTCCAGGCATAAGCAGAAGCAGGTGGGGATCGCGGTCGCACATGATGGACATATCCGGCACCTCAGTCCTTCCCATGTCTCGTCATTCAGGATGACGACTTTGCTGATTTCGTCCCGGACCTCGTTGACCTGTGCATTGAACTCTTCCATCTTGTTGATTCGATAGAGTTCGCAGGCACGATTAACCATGTCAACGATGTAGTGCAGATTATCGGCACCTGTCTCAGTCTCCGGCATCCTCTCGCTGATCTTTGCGACATTCTGGAGGAACATCACAGCCGACTCTTGGGAAGAGTTGACAAAGCCAGGGCAGATCTCGTTCTCCACACACTTCGAGTACGCCCTCTTGATGTCAGCGTACTCCAGGCGCTTCCCTCCGTTGCTTTTGCCAATCCAAATGGACTTGACCTCATAGAACGGGATCACGTCAAAGACCATGAAAGTCCCATTAGCCGCGACTCCAGCCCCATACCGCGCGAGGGTTGCACTGGGAATATAGATGATCGCAATCGGATCCCCTCTCCTCACGTTCCGTAGCGTTGTCTTCGTCGCCACGTTCATCTCATCCCATGGAGCAAACGCCCCGAAGTGCAGTGCTAGCCTGTTGCCGCCATCGATTCCGCCGGGGACTAACCCACAGCGTACGATGCTTGGCAGGTTTTCCACATACGTCACATGGAATGCTCCTCCGAGAGAATCACCCATTCTTGCGGAATACCTATTTGCCAGTGCGGATGAGCTCATGAATCCAAAATCACTGTGACCGGTTGTGACTCGGATGCACCAAGGTCTGTACCATCCATCGCATCTGTTGAACATCCTGTCGATGTCGTCCCGATCCACGCCAGCTTCGGTCATTTCCTCCCTGGCTGCCCTCGTGTCGTTCGGGTTCATGATGCTCGGAAACCTTGCTGCCAAAACCTGGAATCTCGATTTTCTGC